AAAAGTTTTGTTTACTAAATTCTATGTTAATTGGAAATTTTTATTTCTGCTTATGAACTGCGAAAGTAAAGTACGCTAGCAATTTTTAGATAAGTAAGGTTATAATGTATATTATGAACATCACTAATTCCACAGAAGCTGAAGTAAATTAAAAAAAAAATTTTTGCGTTTTCTATAAGCCTAAATATTATTAAATAATATATATATTATTAAAACTAAAATGTACTGTTAGTGAAAAAGTAAACAATAAAATAATAAAATAAAAAAGTTAAAAGAATTAAAAATAGTTGGTACTTTAAAAGTACAGAGCAACTGTAAGAAAAGGTTCACAATACTTACACAAAGTTGCTATATTTGTATACCGCTGACTTCAGGGTCATAGCTGGATAATTTATTAGAAATATCGTTTGTTTAAATGCACTATGGGCAGTTATATTTTATGCATAATCCATAAATATTATTTTTAATTTAACATTTTTAATTCATATCTCTTTTATAAAAAATACGATTTTTCTCTTTATAATATACACACATTAGGTAAAGAAAATGGAAATATTTAATTAATTAATTCCTTCCTGCGCTTCTGCTGGAGAGGACTGATTTAAAAAATTATTATAGTAATTTTTGTTAAAATATTTTTAGGGCAATTTAATCTGTCTCATGTTAATTGGAATGAAAGTTTAGAGTCGTAAACATCCCAAAGTTTGAGCACATTCACATAAAAGTGATATATATCTGCAGGGTTTCAAAATAAATTAAATTTAAATAATTCTCTTGCGCCATTGCTGCAAGGAATTAATTTGAATTTAACAAACATTTTCTATTCGTAAAAAGCTAATTTAAAGTTAATTAAATTTAAATGAAATTTAACGCAAACAAATAAATGATTAATTATCGCTGCGAACTAATATACAATATCATTTAAATTCTGAAGCATATGTAAATCAAGTGCAAGTATCAAAATCTATGAATAAATATATATTTCCAAAAATTTATCTATCCTATTATTCACTAATGCATTTTTATAAATTTTTTAGGATTAAATCTATCCTATTTGTCATTTATGCATTTTTATAATTTTTTAGGATTAATAATCTATCCAATTATTCACTTATGCATTTTTATAAATTTTTTAGGATTGATCTAATCTTCTAATTTATTCTAATTTAAAATCTTCTATAAATTTTTCTTTTGATCCGAAATGTTATGCGTAAATACGAAGTTCTATGTTTCGACGGAAGTCAATTTGTCTCGGTTGAGACTTAGTTTTGTTTTACTTTATTTAGCTAAGGCAAAAAGTATTATTTTCTTTAAGTATAAAATCTAAGAACAAGCAGTTCCTGTTGGTCGAAAGACTAATTCTGTTATGTTAAAGCCAAAATTTGGCCGAAGATAAAATAACTTCGTGTTCTTGTATTAATGAGAAATTTAGTTTCAGTGCCGCCAGCTTGGCGAAGAATGCGTTAAGTAAAAATTTATTTTTCTCTTATTCATTTTATGGTAAATTGTAAAAATCATATGGATTAGAATTTTGTAAATATACGTAAATACTTGAAAGTTATGTAAAAGTAGAATTTAGTTTAGAAGCATAAAATTTTAGATGCTAAAAGTGAATACTCGAAAGAAATGAATTAAAGTTTAAGTATTAAACAGCAGATAAAATCATGCTTTAGAGCGAAAGCCTGCATGTCTAAAGATGAATGAGGGGGAATTTAGAATGATTGTGTTTTGTAGGGTTCTCCACCTACACATGAATTTTAAGAATGTTAAAATAGCTCATCGAGTTTTAGAATATCGAGTAAGGTGTGTCTATTTGGTCGTTGAATGCTAACAAATCATTGTGGTTAGGGGAAGTGTTACAATACTAAAACACGAATATTCCCGTTTTGACACCACACATGGTGGAGAGCCAGGGTAAAATTAAATTCATGTCTGAATACTTGAATGAATGTGAATTAAGCAGTAATTAAGAAAAATAAAACGAACCAAAACTTTATTCAGTGTCAAGAAATTGTAAATTATAATGTATTTAGAAAAATACTGATACTTATTCCTTCCAGATGCTGGAAGGAAGAGAACAGATTGATTGCTGAATTAAGCAGTAATTAAGAAAAATAAAACGAACCAAAACTTTATTCAGTGTCAAGAAAGTGTAAATTATAATGTATTTAGAAAAATACTGATACTTATTCCTTCCAGATGCTGGAAGGAAGAGAACAGATTGATTGCTGAAGTCCAGGAAAGGTTGCTGTAAGAAGAGAGGGTAAAATGTTTGTCTACAGAAATTTATTCTAATTTTTGACAAAACAGCTTGTTTTATGTAAACGAGGCTCTTAGTTCAGAATATGGAAACTCTTCAACAGGTCGTTTCTAGGACCTGCTTCCAAGTTACCAAATTCTGGCAGCGGCAAATGTAGGGTTTATATTTATTTTAACTAATATTTATTTTAAGTTTAAACTATCTTTCTTGTCAAGCCTTACTTTCCCCTGGAATTGCTAATGCCAGAGTATGTAAATTTTAGTAGAACGCGCAAAGAATTCAAATTGTCAGCGGAAGTAATTTGAGTAAAATAGCAGGGAAACGAGTTCGAAATTGTGCTTGTTTGCTTCACGAGCGTGAAGGTGGCTAGGTAGAAAGTTAAGAACGCGCGTTTCGGCCCGTGTGCTTGCCTCGGCAGATAGTTGAATCTTTCAACTTAATATTCAGAAAGTTTGCTGTAATATCAACTGTATTTCAGAACGCGGTTAGGTTAGTTACGTTTAGAGAGCCTCGTAGGTAGTAACTTGTTATTATTCATTTTTAGTTTCTTATTTTTATATTACCGCCGGGTCGGCGTAGTTTGTGAGCGTCAAGTGCACGCATCTGTGATTTCTAAAGTTGAATAAAAAGGGATTTAAACCCTTCTCAAGACTTTGTGTACTTTTCAGTTCATAGCAGTCACCGCTATTGTTGCGTGCAGGTTGGGGCCGCGCAACATTATAAGGCTAGACCTTTATAAATGCGTTGCTAGAAAATGAGAAAATGTTCCAAATCTGAATACCTAAGTAAAATCCATTCTCATTCTTGAATTATGCTTTTAAAGGAAATATTGGTAAAAGAATGCTACAGGGCATTCACTCGCTACTGTGACGCTATACGTGAGGCTGCTCCATTTTCATGGCTCTCAGTTTCATCGACTTGTGTTCTTGCGACTTACAATTTCTGCATTTTCAATCAGTTCTACTAGTTCTGAAAGGATTGCACACCGATTTGAAGTGATTAAAGTGTTTTAAAAAGGCCTTGTACTAGTACTGATATTCTAGTTTGTTATTTTGGATTATCTGGGCACCTGCATTAATTATCATGTCGCTAGCCAGATAAATAATATCCAGATTTCGAGACTTGACGGAGAATGTATCCAATCTCAATGAGGATGTGCAAATGGATTTGATGCTGCTTCAGCCTCTAACTAATATTTTACTGCAACGCATGCCGGAAAAGCTTGAAAACCAGGTCTCAGGCCTTAACTGTGAGTTTGAGCTTTCAAAATCCCCTCAAAAACTGGACACGGAGCAAAAGACGGACTTGGATTGTAACATGGATTGGAAAGGAGCATAAAGGTCTGTAAAACGTTAATTACCTAGTCCAAACTCCCAGGTAATTATAGAACATCAAAATAAGTAGAGAGGTATGATGGAATTATATGGGAAACCATCCAGCTGGCATTAAAATCAAAGAACATGGCTATCGAACGTTGGGAAAGCGTTCTGCAAACTGTTTTGCATTCGATTCGGTCACTCTTTTATGTACAGCTACAAATGCCACACCACATGAACGTATGTTCATCCATGCTAGAAGATCATATAATGGACGTTCTTTACCTACGTGGTTAACACAACCCGGAACAGTATTAATGGAGAACCATACACGAGCTAATAAATATGAGCCTATTGTGAAGGAAGTGGAGCTCATTGAGGCTAACCCAGATTACGCTTGCGTTAAACTTCCAGTTGGTCGTGAAACCAACGTTTCAATATGATATTTAGCACCCAGAGGAGATACTCTTATACATGCCCATGATATCGGGTTGGATGAAAAACCAACAACTTTCAGATTCTTTTGCTCAACAGAACGAGAGTCTGGCCACTGAAGCTCCTGAACCCGTATCGAAACTGTAAGAAAATCGACAGAAGAGGATCCCCAAGACAGTGATTTACTGTGCCCTATTAGACAAAAGGATTTTGAAAATACTTCAAATGATAACTTGCAGAGTGAATCCTTGCGTCCGAAAAGTCAGGGACGTCTACCTTCTTATCTCGCAGACTATGTAAATTATAAATAATCTTTGGGGAGGGGTGAATGTGGTATAATATTTAATATTGTTGGCAGCACTAAAATTACACTACATTAAATGGCAACAGTCATTGTTAGTTTAAATATTGTTCTTACAATGTAGAAATTGTTTTATGTGCAATTTTAGTCGATTAAAGCTTCATTTGAGCTTCTCTTATATTTATAACACTTATGCATAGACTTTCTTTGCTTATGCAGCTTGTTTTTCCTCGCTGCTGACAAGAAGACTGTAGGCCTGTTAAAGAATCTGTTTGCTTTGTCCGTCTATTGATTCTCCAAAAGCGCGCGAAATTTTCCTTGCAGTCTCGCATAGTGTGTATGACATAACTGCAGGAATTCATAATTAACATATATATATATATATGAATACTCGAGCAAGAAATCATATATGTGCGAAATATAACAAATTAATATTTTATGTAATATTCTGCGAAATGAAGGCATGCTTATATCGGACATTAAATAAGCTTTATGCCTTATAATAACTTGAATTTGTGCACCAAAGCTAAAGCAAAGTATTCAAGGCTTTTTTTACTGCTATGCAACTCATTTTCATTTAGAGCCTGAATATTATGGCGAGATAGGCAGAAGTTGTATGATATCAAGGCTGTGAATTATAGTTATCTACATAGTGCAAAAATTTCTTATTCTATTAGATATCTAACAAATGACTTGTAAAAAATCATCTATTGGGTATGTAGCAATTTTGGGAAAAAGCAATATTTCAAAAGTGGTCATGCATAACCTTACCGTAAAGAAACCTCATGTATATGAAGAATGGAATCAGTCATTCAGTGAAAGGGAAATTTTTAACAAACAAATGGTTAGTCACACAGGCGAGAAATCTCATATCTGTGCAGTATGTGAGAAATCATTTAGTGTAAAGTCTAGGTTAATCATGCATATGTTTGTTCACACTGGAGAGAAACCTCATATGTGTGAAATATGTAAAAGGTCATTTACTTATAAGAAATCCTTAAACATGCATATGCTTATTCACACAGGAGAGAAACCTTATGTTTGTGAAGTATGTAAAAGCTCACTTAGTAATAGGTGTACTTTAAGGAGGCATATGCTTATTCACACAGGAGAGAAACCTTATGTTTGTGAAGTATGTAAAAGATCACTTAGTCATAAGAGTACTTTAAACCAGCATATGCTTATTCACACAGGAGAGAAACCTTATGTTTGTGAAGTATGTAAAAGGTCATTTAGTTTTAAGAGTTCTTTAAACGTGCATATGCTTACTCACACAGGAGAGAAACCTTTTGTTTGTGAAGTATGTAACATGTCATTTAGGGTAAAGAATAAATTAAACAGGCATATATTAATTCACACAGGAGAGAAACCTCATATTTGTCAAATGTGTAAGAAGTCATTTAATCGAAGGGATAAACTGAATAAGCATGTGCTTATTCACAGAAAAGAGAAACCTTATACACATAAGGTTTATACATGTGAAATATGCAAGATATCATTTTATCAAAAAGATAATTTAAATGATCATATGCTTATTCACACTGAAGAGAAACCTCAAATGTGTGATCAAAAGCGTGCCTTAGGCCTGCATATGCTTACTCATACAACAGAAGCAGAGAATCCTCATGCGTGTGCAGTATGTAAGAAGTCGTTTAGTCGAAAATATGAATTAAACCGTCATATGCTTATTCACAGTGGAGAAAAACCTCATATGTGTGATGTATGTAAGAAATCATTTAATCGGAAAGATATTTTAAACAAGCATATGCGTATTCACACATGAGAGTTCTTATTAGCTAAAATCATGATCGGAATTTTCCGGAAAACGTCACATGACATGTCTCATGATCTCTCATTTCTCCGAGACAAAATAATCTGTGATTCAAACTGTGTACTTCTCAGATTATTGCTAAAGTCCTACCTAGTAACCTTTATCGCCTTACCAAAATGTTGCCAAACTACCTGTTACCATATTCCAAAGATTAACCACCTTTGTTTTCCCTGCACTCTTCTCCAAATTTCAGTACTTTATAGTGGATTGTACTTTTTGAAGCATTTTGTAAGCAGTACAAAGATGTGAAATGCAATGTTTTATAACATCTTTATGACTGCAGGTTGAAAATTTTTGCTTTCTCTTTGAAAATGAACCTTTCCTAATAATAATTGTACCTTGAATGTAGTGAATACCCAGAAATGAAGTAGGCACAGCTTTAGTATTAGTCCTTTTTGGCGAGAAATTTGTTTGGCGACATTTTGGAGTGATAAATGTAAAATTATGATAACCTTGGTAACCCTAAATACTGAGCTGAAAAAACATGCCGCCATTTCTGTCCACGTAATTTTAACGAATTTGGTAGGTATAAAGTCACGTTTGTGTTAGGAAAGCACAACATTTAAAATATTTTTAAAAAAGCTAAAATTTGATAGTTAAAACTGATGCTTTTAATATTACATCACGAGTCTTGAAATTTTTTCATATGTCAACTCTGCATATTATTATAAACTCCACCCCCCAAAAAAAAACACATTTTCAGTAGCATGAGGTAAACTCTTTGTGTTTCCTTTGCTAAGGAGATCAAAATTACCATGGTCTTAAAATAACTTTTTTTGCCTCATATTAGAACTAAAGGGATGTGTAATTGCATGAATTCATAGGTTCAAATCAGAACCAAAATCAGGTTTCATTATTGATTTTATAACATTTTTATAATTTGTCTGACTATAAAAATATGTTACTTAATTATGGAATATATTGCTTTTAAGTTTACAGTTCTTAAATTTTGTAAATCTTCACAACCTAATAGCTGTATATGAATAACCTTCACTGAGTATTATTACTTTTATTAATAGTATGTTGACATAACAGTCGACTTTTCATTTTAAATTTTATGCAAATTTTCTACATTACTTAAACATTTTATCTAACAGAAATCTGAATTTTTGTAATAAAAACTCTATAATAAATGTAAGAGTACAATTTATATATAAAAATTTGACTACAAGGCAAGCACTTAGATGCTTATTTCAATGTCTTTAAATGTTATTATTATAAAGTTTAGATATATTCTTATTAAGTTAAGATATACTTTTATTCTCTTATAAAGTTTAGATGTACAGAACAGAAGGCACTTTTTGTGCTTACAACTCAGTCAACCACTTGTGGCAAGATAACTTAGGGTAACAATTAAGTTCAAATGTAAAATTTAAATTAAAATAAATCAACTTAATTCAGAGTTGGTTAAAAACTTAACCAGCATGGAATTCAACTACAGTCAAAAGTCGTTAATCCGGACTCGTCGGGACTTCGGCGATTCGGTATTATCAATTTTTCCGGATTATAGATCATCACTTTAAATCTCGTAAGATGGCATGCAGAAATTCTAAAATTAAAAATATGAAACCGTAATTTATGAAATAAAGAACAATTATGATCTAAAGGGTATCAAAATTTACAAAAACAAAACAAAAAAAAAAAAAAAAAAAAAACTAACTTAATATTTATTTGTTTACTTTATTAAACATTTCCTCTCAATGTAAGTTGTTTAAAGTTGCTTCATTTTATGTGATAATACTTTCTCTTTAAATTCCATAAAAAGACATAATTTCTTGTTCAGTTACAAAGTTCCACTGTTCAAGTCCCGTTAATTGCTGTGCCGAGAATACCAACTTGTCAATCGAAATTTTTTCATTTTCACTAACCTCTCTGTCACATTCTTCATGTCTTTATCCATTTTTTGCAGCAATTCCACTTTTTGTTTGTTGGACATCGAAACATACTTTCGTTTTGTAGATCCTTTGGAAGTCCATCGGAAATTCTATTTGACGTAATCGAAAGTTCAAGTTTACTTTTATAAAATTGCTCTTACAGTCTGCAAAAAATAATAAGCGGGATCCAATTCGAAGATTAAGGAACAATGCAATCATTAACATTAACTGAAATAGATAATTAGATAATTTTAGCTTACACCGTCCGTTATTACACATTAAACACGCAGGCGAAAACGTATTCTGCAGTTGCGCATACGCATATGCGCAGTAGTCAAGGTCTTACGCGCACGCGTAAAGCGCCTGTGCGCATGTGCCAACGCGGCGCATGCGCAGAAAGTTTTTAGCTTTGAGGTCCGGATTATGGGTGTCCGAATAACGACTTTTGACTGTATCAGTAATTACAATGCAAGACTGAAGACTACAAATCTTATCTAGCAACCTAGTAACGTGGCCTCGAAAGGCAAAACACGGTTTGTTTTACAAAGTAAAAACTTCATTTAGATTCTGGTGGGAAAATGGATGGAGGAAATTGATAGTAAAGATCCCAAGCATAAAATAACTGGTTACAATATAAAGAATGTTACATTACACTTTGTGCCCTGATTAATTATTCACTACATGAAATAGAGTAATGCATTTTTGTTTGCATCATATACAGATTATTTATTTTATTTAAATGCTGTCCAAAACTTAACAGGATTTTGCAAACATATTGACCATATTTTTCGACCTATAGATGCAACACTTCTTCACTTCAGAAGTAAGATTTAGAATTAAGAAATAAGAAAATAAGAGAGAATTATGAATAGAAAATAAATATATGTGCTGGCTAGCAGAAGAAGGATGCCTTCATAAAGTACTTTTAAGAGGAACTGGCTCAGATTCACATTACATGTACGAAAAACCACAAAAACTCCCATATAGCGAGCCTGAACTACCACTGTTCAGTGGCTTATCACTCCAACACTAGTAGATTCCAATGACTGTTCGAATTTTTCACAGAAATCATCATTATTATTACCATTGGTACAAAATTTACTCATTATGATAATTTAATTTTAGCTTTTAAATTATAAACATAAATTACTTGTAATAAATTTAGGGATTAAAAAATACACACTTCTTAATATTTTTACCATTTACAAAATTTAATCATAAAAAGTATTTCTAATACTGCTTCAAAACTTGCTCATAATTTAATTTGATTTCCTTCACTTTGAAATATTTTTTTTATTTTCTTTTAATAACAGAATCTAAGAAACTAAAGTAACATATACTACTGGTTTGAAATGCATTTATGAACCTCTTGTAAATTTCATTATTCATAACATAAAAATTAACCTTTTGTAAATTAAAAATATTAGCTAAGTACTAATATAATATAAATATTAACTAACTACTTAAAATATTAATGTTTAATACATTAATATTATATTTAGTAATTTAAAATGTTAACCTTTTGTAAATTTCATTACTCATTTCATAATCACTGCCATAAATTCATTTACGGTAGTGTTTCAAGAATTTATCATAGCAGTATTAGAAATGTTGAAAATTAGAGAAAGACTGTTTATTCTGATTAAGAGCTTATTTTTTAGGATTGTTATTTAGTCTAGATCGGGTTTTGTTGACAATTGGCCATTTTTTTCCGATCTTCAAAGCCGGGTATACGTTGGCGACCAAAGTTTGTCGCCAAATAAAAAAATCGCCAAAAGGACCAATACTAAAGCTGCTCCATGAAGTATTACAGAGTACAGGATATACGCAGTGTTTTAAGTTTACAAGATCAGTTTTTGACTTTGCTTCTGATGCTGCAAACACAATATGCAGCTTTTACTATCTTTAAACAAACCCAGCAGCATTTGGCAAATAAGGTTTTTCTTTGCTAGTAGCTGCGTGCAAATTGTTTTTCAAGACATTTTTTGTGTGGTGATCATTTCATGAGTGTTCAGTATTCACATCTGTAATCTACCAAAATATATTGTGAGGATAATATGCATGTTAGTATTTTGAAATACTTCTAATACTGAAACATAGGTAAATGTTTCATCCCATATGTGTACTGTAACTTGCAAGTGCTTTGTGTTAAACTTGGATGTTTTGAATGTAATGTAGATACCACTTCTGCCATTAGCAACAGAAATGTCTTCCTTGTGCATGAAATAATGTATTAGGTACTTTGATTCGTGATGAACTAGTAATGTTGACCATGGCTGTCCAACTCCAGTATAAATTGGTAATATTTGGGTAATATTTACACGCAGGGTAAGAAATCTATGTATACTGAATATTTATTCAAAAACTCTTCCCCTCCATATCCATTAGTGAAAGAAAATAATTTTTAACTTGTAAGGATGCACACTTATTTTATAAGCATAAAGATTTGTGCATCAAAAATATGTCTCAATGCTTTGATAATTAAATAACTTCACATGTATTTTTTTAAATATTTATTACATTAGGTATAAATAATTTATTGTTTAGTCAGTAGCTTTTAAAATTCATGCACATAAGTTTATTATTATTTGAACATGATGTATTTTTTATGATATTCTCATGGTTAAAATCTAAAAGAGATGTGTGTTGAAATTTACTATACTGTTCCACTATACTTGGTTTCTGTCTGAAAAAATCACCAAGTGGTATTGATTATTCGTAAAATCTGGAAGCCCGCTGCATGAAGTAGGTTTTTGTGTAACCCTAATGTTGATAATGTTGGCAAAACTAGTCTTTAAATTGCGAATATTGCCAAATGTGATGAGATAAGTTGAGATTTTGGCTATTTTTTATAATAGTAAGCCTTTTGTATGGACCGGAGATTTTGAATTGCTGTGTTTGGTTGCACGTGTGTAATGGTTTATGAAAGTGGTGCCTGAAAGTTTGCTTAGTGTTATAAATGAGTATATTATTCCGGATACGACTAATAATTTCTAACTGCTGGAAGGAGTATATAAAATAGAAGGAACGTATTTATGGCTTTCCTGAATGCTATTATATGTACTTATCCGCTACCAGATATTTAATTAAATTGCTTACATGGACGAGATATTGGTGGGGGGCATTAACGTATGTACTTGAAGAAAACGTATGTTAAAGAATTGATGTTTTATTTATTTATTGGTGTCTGCATGTTAATTTTTGTTAAAAGATTTTTTTAAAAATTTTTTTATGATAGGAAATATGTATTGTTGCATGCGTACGGGTTTGTTATGAATTGAATGCACAAGTCCGATGAAAAATGAATAAGATTTATTATTATCACAAATAAATAAAACAAAATGCTTAAATTTTCTCAGATAAACCATACAGTATTACAATATCTCACAGTAGTTATCTTTTAACTACTCAAACTTTCAACAGAACTTTATTCAAAACTGCTATAGAAAGCTAATCCGCGAATTTGCTACAGTCAACAAGAGCAGTTTTCGGTTAATCTTTGGATTATGGTAACTTGGCGATTTTTTGGCGACCAACCCTGCTACAGCAACCTGCTAGATTTTTTGGGGTGATGTCATTTTGTTTTCACGAAGTAAAGACGTGTTTTTTTTTTACTCAACATTTTTTTCCAACAATCTGCTAGCCGAATTACGCTTTTGCTAGAACTTTTATGGAACAAAAGTGCTTAATCATGACGAAGATTAGGTGCGAAATTGGGAGAAAGTGCAGAATCGCCCACTGCTTGCCATGTTTTTAAGAATTGCACATACACGGTATCCATGTACACGTCGACCTATTTTCACTTAAAAAAACATCCCAGAATTGCACAAAAATGTCATTGCACACACTCTTGACTTTATCCATGTACACTGCTAAAGTCCTAGCTAGTAACCTTCATCGCCTTACCAAAATGTTGCCAAACTACCTGTTACCATATTCTAAAGATTAGCCCAGTGTTCTAAACAAACTCTTGAAACAACAACTAAATGAATTGAGAGGTTTTTCCCTCCTTTTTATAAGCTTTTTAAGTCATGCATGAGATTGTTCTAGCAATTTCTCGAAATCAAAAAGAGATATTTATTTATTAAATGTTAAATGCACTTGCTCTTGTATTTTTAATTTTCCGGCTTACCTTCCTTTTAATATTCATCATGCGCTGCACTGCGCGGGGAATAAAACACTCTTTTTATAATTATACTAACATTAACTATTTAAATACCAAATCCGTAACACTGCCGCCTTCCCAAGGACTGCATGTCCCTGGCAGTACAATCTCTGGACAGGAAGCCAAACTTACAACTAAGGCAAAAATGCAATAATAAACATTACATTACAATATCAAACAACAGGAATAATAAATGCAATAACTTAAACAAATTAAATAGTAAATACAAGTCAAATCAAATACACATTTTAGAAACAAAAAGGCCCATGGTCTTATACTATTTGCAATTCTTTATATAACGTACTATGACCATAGTAATGAGGTAATCTGTCGTAATGAACGACTTTAGGTTTAGAGTTCGGCAACTTATGAATCTGAACCATGAAGTCGTTCACTCTGTTCAGGACTGTGTAAGGACCATCGCAAGGTGACTGTAATTTAGGCCCAAGTTCCTTTCGTCGAATCGTATTCCACAACCACACTTTGTCTCTTCGTTAAATCTATATCCAGTAGCTCTCGTGTCGTATCTTGTCTTCACTTTCTCCGTCGCCCAGTTGACTCGCTCCGTTAGAGTAGACTTTAAGGTACCCCTTGTAAATGTACTCTTTGGGTCTATGAGTATCATCAACAAAATCAAAGAAAGAAATTTATGGTAAATTTTTCCTCCTCAACATTTTTTAGCGCATCTGAAATCTGTAATCATTGCCAAGCGTAATGTCAACATAAAAGGTTACCACACTTCTTTATTATTCAAATACTAACATAAAAACATTGTTTAGGTATCTCTACATGAGTCATTACTCAAGTTGTCATGTTTTGATAAGAATGCGGCAATGAAAGGAAAATATAATAAATAATGATTCACCACGTTGGCGTCAGATCAACGATGTATCTGTGGGATGTTTCGGTATGAGTAGAAAAAAAAAAAAAAAAGTTTATTGATTAAAATATAATTTTTTAAAATTAAATGTAGTATTTATTTATTAATTTAACTATCATAATATATTACTAGTTTACTTATTACCAGTTTAATATCATAATTTATTACTAGTTAATTTATGCCAGTTTAACACTTTGAGGTACACTGTATTCATATTAGCTCATAATTTTCAGAAATTTATTCAAGGCAATGTAGAATAATCCATCCCTCACATTTGGGCATTAAACAGATAGTAAAAAAATCGATGAGGTATAATAATTAAAGGCGAAAAAATAATTAAGGGATCGAAGATAGAAGTGTCATATATCCCCATTTTACCAATGCTAAGATCCCTATTCTGCCTTTCTTGAAATTCTTCAAAGCAAGAAAAAGGGTGGCTCCGAAAGGTTAGATGCTGACTGACGAGAATTGATAAAGCCGAAAAGTAGACAGCATCTGTTGGAATTGTTACGAGAAGGAAACCACAAACAATGAGCAATTTGTATTGTTTAATGCTAGAAACTGTTGAAGAAATAAATAAATGAATTGAAAAGCATTCAAGTAACAGAGATTTGACTTAGTTTATATAAAAGAAGGACACTTTTCTGAGAATTCCAGGCTTTGTTGTGCATCCTCACAGTGCCCGTTCTGTCACTCCTCAACACCGGAGCTGAAAATCTTTGGAAATATGTGTGGATTTTATTGAGAGAACAATCTTCAGAAGTAAAGAAGTAGACTATCACTCGGAGAAGAGGAATAATTATTACTTATTTTCGCAGTGCTGCAAACGTGCAGCCGCTTGCATCGGTGATCGCAGCCTCTTTCCGCTGAACTGGTACACAGGACGCAGATTATCGAATCTGGATAACAAACACGTCGCAGATATGTTTTAGCGTATAAAAGGAAATGTTTGAAAAGAAATTTCTATGTTATTTTTTTGGCAGTATACTAATCTCCTTATTCTATATTAGTTTTAAATTTTTACCTTAAAATCTTGCCTAAAATCAAACGGCGAACTGTAGGTGTGCCCAGACCGGGCTCACTGATAATCTAGGACAACTGAGAGTCTGTATTCTTTGTTTCTCCGCATCTCATCGGTCAGTTCATTGACAACAATGCTCGTTTCAGCACTTTTTTCGAAGCTGTATTCAATCAGTGTGCCATTTTAACCACACCCACAGAATTAAAACGATAAGTGCTATCTTTACAAAATTTTACTTGTGTTCTCCTCTAGGCCTAATTAGACTGCCTACCTTTTTTTTTTAATCAAAACTCCGACTTTAAAAGGTAGCGTGCTGGAAAGTGTTAAGCTGCTTCAAGAAAAGCGTCGGCACTCCCGTATTACAACCTGCCATCAAATGGGTAACTGCAGCACCAATCCAGTTTGCAGAGGTTGCGCTGTTAACTTAAACTCTCGCCCCTTCCACCTTCCCAATTCAGTGACCTGAAACTAATAGAATTACTAAATTATTTAGATTAACTTTTATCTGAAGGAATTGTATATACCTTTACATTTAAAAAAATTTTTTTCCTCTCTCTCTCCCCAAAAAATTAAGTTGTAACTTTTGTGGATTTGTTTGAAATATCCAACAAAATAAGTTCAAAATCAGATGGAATACATTTTTATAGATTTCCTATAGAAGAGCAAAGGTTAGTACTTTATTATTTTACACTTTTGTTATTTGTAAATGGAGTAGAAATGTGATTATTGTATATTTAAAAGTGAGAATGATTTTATCTTGCATGATATGGTTTATGCATCACTGTGTGTCCATTAAATCTATTGGTTTACCATCCACTGCAGAGAACTTCATATAATTTACAGTAAGCATTTTATCAGCAATATTTAATCTTACAGAGGTGACTGGCATTAAAAATAAGCATTTCAATAATGACTGACTGATTGTTCCGGTATGGCCGGGGTACAGCACAAGGTTCAGTACAACTATCCGGATATGGTATCCCCGAAGGTAACAAATCAGGTAGGATGGGGGGGGGACCGACACATTGCGTGGTCAGAAACTAAAGTCGATCATGGACAGCTGGCAGGTGGAAATGGTGTCCTAACTAATGTAAAGAACATGATAAATTTATTTACATTACAGAATTTTATTTAAAATGATGCAGATATTCATATAATAAAATGCCATATATATAGTGTTTGCAATACATATACAGTACAAAGTCCGTAATCCGGACTCATCGGGACTTCGGCGATTCCGGATTAGCGGTTTTCGGATTATAGATCAATTTAAATGGTAAGATGGCATGCAGAAATTATACAATTAAAAATATGAAACTAATTTATGAAATAAAGAGCAATTATGATCTAAAGGGTATCAAATTTTACAAAAAAGAAGCTTAATATTTATTTGTTTACTTTATTAAACATTTCTTTCAACGCGCGCATACATAAAGCGCGTAATGTATGCGCATTCTTTACGCGCATGCGTAAAGCATACAAAAAGTTTGTGGCTTTGAGGTCCGGATAATGGACGTCTGGATTATGGACTTTGTACCGTATATGATATGATATTGCATTTCATGCAATTATGTAGGGAAGTTAGAGTCTTTTGTGAGGTGGGCCGCTAATGGTCGAACGTCGCACTCCTTAAGTAAATTTTAAAATTAAAATTTGCAAGTTACCACCATGGCGAATTGTGATGAATTGTCTTTGGGCGTTTGACAGTGTATTCAGTGGTTGTATCATAATCCAACATTTGTTTAATTGCGTTATACTGACTATGCTTCATCTTCTCGAAGAAGTTGTGAGCTGTCATGAGTATAAAGTTATGCACAGATGGAATATCCAGGTCGTTATGAATTATAGAGTTTCTCACGTACCAAGGTGCATTCACAATGCTACGTAGAATTTTATTTTGAAGTATATCCAGTTTTTTTGCGCTCAGTTTTATTGGCGATTGCCCAGGCCGGCACTGCATATAGCATGATCGGTCGAATTAGAGATATGTAAAGCATTTTCTTTATTTTTAGACTGAGCTTTGATTTTTTGCCGATAATAGGATGAATTGCCATGTAGGCTGCATTTGCTTTGTTTAAGATATAAGAAATATGATCTTTGAAGTTGAGAGACTTATCTATGTAAACACCTAAATATTTATAGGAATTAGCTACAGGGATTAGAGTTCTATCTAAGTAGATATCAGTATTAACTCTTAATCTTGTTTTGTATCTCCGATAGAGCACAATACAACATTTAGAGGCGTTGAGCTTAATTTTCCAAGTCTTGCACCAGTGATTGATCATATTGAGATGCATTTGTAAATTACTTAGAGCGAGCTGGGGACTTCTGGATTCAGTCAGTACTACAGTGTCGTCAGCGTATTTGAGTATTTTCGTGTTGAATGGGTGCGGGAAATCATTGATATAAACATTATAGAGCCGGGGGGAAAGAACGGATCCTTGCGGCACCCCGCTATGAATTCTTTTTCTGACAGATAAGGCGTCACCGCAGCGAACTTGAAAAGTCCTGTTTTTCAGATAGGAACTAATGAGTTTTACGAAACTGTTTGGAAGCATAAAATTATTCAATTTATGCAGGAGGCCTGCATGCCACACTCTATCAAAGGCCTTTTCGAAGTCGAGATAGCATGCAGCCACCCCGTTTTTCTTAGTAAAGGCTTGCGAAACAAATTCCACCAAATTGAGAATTTGATGAGTCGTGCAGTGTCCACTGCGGAAGCCGAATTGCAGATCATCTATTAAATTGAGTCTTTCGAGATGGTTAGTGAGCCTTGAGCAGAGGATTTTCTCAAATACTTTTCCTAATGAAGGTAAAAGACTGATAGGTCTGTAGGAAGTGACGAGTTTAGGATCTTTCTTTGGTTTTAAGATATTGACTATTATTGAGTGTTTCCATTGCTGAGGGAAATAATTATTTCGGATGCAGGCATTAAAAATATTGACTATGTTAGTAATACAACGTCTAGGAAGAGCTTTAAGTGCTTCATTGCTAATTTGATCATAGCCTTTGGCTTTCCTTGGCTTGAGTTTGTGAATAATTTCTCTTACTTCTCTTGGTGAAGTAAAGGGAATGAAATTTGTTATAGGATAATTGTTAATACTGTCAATGGTAAAATTAACTTCTTCTTCTTGGGAGTTATTCTCAGGCGGGTGAGGTTGAAATATTTTCTCTAATTCATTAGCCATTATATTAGCAATCTCGTCCTCAGATTGATAGGAGATTCCCATGTGATGAATTGCATGAGTTTGATTTGGTCTGCTATTTCTTAGAGATTTAGCAATTTTCCATACTGCTTGATCTTGAGGATCCAGGTTTGATAGGAGAAAATCCCATTTTTTGTTTCTGAATTCCATAATTTCATGCTTGATTTTCCTGTTTAAAAAGTTGATGTGCCTTTTGGCACGAGAGTCTCTGGACCGCTGCCATTCCTTATGTTTTCTATTCTTCTCTGTAATAATATCTTTTATATATTTAGGAAGGGAGAGAAAATTAGTGCTTTTGCAGGGATAAGTCGCATTATTGATTGCATCTTTCATTTTAGTGGTGAATTTATAAATTTCATCTTCGATATCACCGCAATGATTATAATTATTTCTGCAATTATAGTCTTTCATAGTATCAGAGAATTGGGTCCAATTTATCTTAGTTCTGTGTTTCTTTAACGGGGGATAAAAGCCATAAAAGTCGAAGTTCACTGGAAGATGATCAGAATTTAAGTCCGTTATTACTTCTAAGAGAGGGGTATGAGGAATATTTTTAAGAAGTACAATGTCCAAAACTTCGCCGTTTCCGTTAGCACCAAATCTTGTTGGAGAAGTGGGAGCAGCAAAATTGAGGTCGTTGCTAATTAAATAGTTATGTAAAATGTTTCCATTGCTATTAGATTAGATCCTCTAGAATTCCAGGCATTATGCTTTGCGTTCAAGTCCCCTGCGATGATAGTCGGGAAGTTGGTGGAGGTTAAGATATCCAGGTCATTATTAGTCATCAGATTATTAGGAGGATTGTAAATAGAAATAAATAGGTAGGCTTCATTTAAAGCAGTATAAATGATAGCTGAAGTAAATTCGAGCAGACTATTGTGAGGAAGATCATATTCAGTATGCTTTAAGTGATTTTTAATGATAATTGCAGTACCACCCCCCATCTACTTCGGGTTCTGTCTTTCCTTATAATATTGTAGCCGTTTATTTTAAATTTATCGCAAGCTTTAAGGTGAGTTTCACCTATCATCATGACATCAATGTTGTACTTATCCAAGTAATCTTTAATTTCTTGATATTGTTTTATGACACCGTTCGCATTGAAATAGGAAATTTTTAAGAAGCTATTGGTAGCTGAAATCATCGCGTTTATATTGCTATGAGGTCTAAAAGTCATAGTCTAAAGTCTAAAGAAGTGAAATATTCAATTGCGGCCATTCCGACCTCGAGTTTACCCATGATGTTTTTTGCTTTTTTAAATTCTGTAAAGAATTCTTTCGCTTTTAGGAGTTGGGTTTTTATCCACTCAAAAAATGAAACTTCTTTAGCTTTCGCTTTCTTGTTTATTTTTGTTTTCCTTTTGAGTTGTCCAGCTTGGTTGATTTTTAGTATTTTCGTTTTTCCGTAGCTCCAGGGAGAGTAGGAAAATCTTCTTTATTTAATTGAAATTGTTTCTGTTCATGCTTTTTCTCGTTTTGATTGCTCTTATTGAAGACTCTTTTGGGTAGGTTATCCGGATGGTATTTACATTCCTTCGAGTTGCTCGGGTGGCAATCGCCGCACAGAACGCAGAGCGCTGGTAGTTTGTCCTTGTTCTTCTTACAGGTGTAAGTTTCGTGCGGTTCGGCGCATTTAAGACACCTAGGTTTGTAATGACATAGATCTCGAGTGTGTCCGTATCTCTGGCACCTGTGGCATTGCACAGGGCCAGGTCTGGATTTGTAAGCACGGACTATGACGTCTAATCCACGAAGTTGCTTTATTTGGTAGATTTGTTTACCCTTTTCGTTTCTTTTGACCTCGACTAAGAATATAGGTAGTTTAACAATTTTTCCTTCTCGGAATCTTTCGAGCTGACGTATCTTTTCTACAGGAATTCCGTGTTCAGTGAGTTCTTTGTGAATTATTTCCACGTTTGAGTTTCTAGGCAGCTTTCTTAATTACTACTTTGATTGGTTTTTCGGAATTAATTTTGTATGTGTGGAATTGCACACCTCGTTTGGCCAGAAACTCCGTGATTGCGCGATAGTCATCTTTATCCCAGACTTTGATGTTGAGTGTATCTCCTGTGAGATTGCCTTTGACTTTTTTTTACTCCTAAATTTTCGATTTCCTCTTTTAACGTATCCCAGTTGGCTGTAAAATCTGAGAGAACAATTGGGGGAATATGTCCAGTGCTTTTTTTGGCGAGAGTAAATCCTGCGGACTGTGAGTTCAATTCCTGCTCCATTCTGTTATCATTCTGTAGATTATTGAACTTACTTTTCTGTACAGGTAGTTCAGCTTCTGCTGAATTTGAATGCGTTCGTTTATGAGTGATACGGGGGGGGGTTAAAGCCGTCGCTGTCAGTAGTAATTTTCTTTTTCTTATTCTTTGATATATTTGCATCGCTTTTTTTTTTGCGTTATAGTATTTGCATCGCTTTTTTGCGTTTGATTAGATGATTTTGTCTTTAACATAGCATTGCTTTCGTTATTATTTTCCGCGATGGAATTGTTTGTTTGATTTTTATTCATGACGGCCAGATTTAAGAGTGCGCATTCTTTCCTGTGCTTTAAGTCACGCAATTTTGTGGGATGAACATTTGCTATATGTCTTTTTAAGTTAAAAAAATGTAACTCATCTTCTGATTCACTTGGAATTTCTAACCAGCATTCACTTCGGCAAGTTCTTGG